TCGCGTCGGAACCACACGATCGTGGAGAGAAATCTCTACCGCACGGGTTCCCGATTCCCTTCCAGCCCGGAACCTCTAACGAAAGCCTCGCTTGTGATCGGAACTCCTCGCGATGTCATTTCAGCAGTAATACTCGGTGACTTTGCCAGACAAAGGGTACTTTACACTTCGTTATTGAATAAGCCCTCGCGGTGTACAGTAAACGCTTGATTTGGTAGAACGCGATACATCTGAAATTCTGATATCCTAAAGCATTGTCGTGGTCCCATACGTCGATAGCGCGATGTTGGACACTCTCGATCCAGTGAACCGCTCGCAATAAACTTTTCAGGTCCCGAGCGTGCATATCGAGTCGAGCGCTGGCGGCGCTGAGAAATTCCGATACCTTATGGTCGATCGTTATTCTCGCATGCTACATCGGAAAAACATATTTAGCTCTAGGTCATTGTCACCGTCCCTCGTTCGCCTGTGCCTTCAATTTTTATACGACCGGACCCAAGAGGTCCTGGGACCCCCTACTGGGGACCCGTGCTCTAGGGAGCGCCTGCAGGAGGACAGAGTCAATCGAGATTTCGTTATGTTGAATCTCACTATGAGCGACAATGCTCCGTGACCGAGGTGGTCAATAAGAACGATATTGCGGTTCAGACCGGTAAAATGGCTCTCCCATGCGCAGAGGTCCACGACGATCGAGTTCTCTATAGCTTTATCCTTCTGTATGTGATCTCCAAAGTCTCAGTCGATTCCGGGTACCATTCAGGAATTGGTTCCGGACTGACGATGAATTCGAATGACCCATCTGAATCTGAAGCACGTGCTCCGAAGCATGATGAATGCTGAAGCTATAGGATGATAAAGGATGCATAATGAAAACTATCTAGGATCTCCACCGTATCCCTTTCCAGTCCTCTCGAATTCGAATGATCATCTCGACACGCCCCAGTGTCCTCGGAATGCTCATCCGTTGGGGATTCGAGCGGAGTGCATTCCCGTAGAGTAGTGTGAGTCAGAGGCGGAGACCTCGCAGCCCTATCCTGGTCAACAGCTCGATCGCCTTGTCGGATGGGCTGGATCGGGTCGGCAGTACATTATTTGGGATGCTTGTGGGACTCTGCGACAGGCTCTTGTCCGACCAACAAAAATGCTTCCATGAACGATCTCCGAAGTCCGAAACTGGGATCTTTCGGTCTATAAGCATCAGGGGACGGATCCGATGTCCGTCTCGCCAAGGCTGTATGTCGAGATTTGCTTGTCGCAGATTGCCAAGCGAGGTCGCGTCGGGAGGCTGATACGATATGCTACGGAATGCACGTTCTGAGCCGGAGTAATCGTAGTGCAGAATTCCACGAATAGGCTTCTCCGTGAGGAAAACATACGAGACCAACAGAAAAAATCCCTTCGTGTCTGATTTTTCGGAACGCGGAGAAGGAAGACGCAATGACTCGATACAGACGGCCAGTCGTTCCGCAGGGCGCGAAAAATCCTCGCTTCCTGCGCCCGAATCGACACCATTAAAATCTCGAATAAACATACACGAAGCCGTTCGACTTGTCACATGAACTGTCGCGGACTGTTGACGACTTGTAAAGCTCGCCGTCACATTCCAATCCCGGCTCAGATTGTGTTCCGAGTTTGTTCGCGTTTGCCTTAGCCCTCACCTTGTGTACGACACAAGCTACTTCCGGAGTCCTCCCCGAGAAAGCTCGTCTCGCGTCTCAGTTGGAAAACGTGCCAGGCCTTGTCCGAGTCCCTGAATGATCACTGCTCGCCATGAAATTCTTCATCTTGGAAGTCTCCATCGGTCACCTCTCAGATATTCATCTGGAGAGTAGTTGAAGTCTGGCTGGAACGATGAGATCCCTGCAAGCGAGGAAGCGCCCATCCATTGAAGTAATCTATCGAAGAAATACGGGAATGGGCGCGGCGGAAGCTGGTCCCGAGATTCGACTCGAAGTGGCAGGAGACCCTCAAGATGCAGATGACGTCCCTCGAGAAGCTCGATTAGTGGCTGGACACGGCGCTCGCTAGACCTCTGAGTTAGCATTCAGCTCACCGTGGAACATGCGAAGGAGCGCTTCCTCGAGCGGTGTAGCAGAGCGCTCTTCCCAGCTTGGGGAGACTCTCCTCGCCGAGGAGAGTCTCTATTCGGTGTCGGTCGTCTTCCGGAGCCCTTCAAAGATTTTGCGTCGAGGACTAGCCGCAGCAGGGTCC